AGTGATAGATTCGGTGTTAGCTCTTTGAAATTATCAATATGCCGGAGGTGTTCTTTGTGACATTTGGCATCATGATTTAATTTTCAGAAAAAGCGTAGATGCTCGGTATGTTGAAAAATTCATCAATCCATTTGAAAACCTACAATTTGAGGGTACAGAAAAAAAAACAGAAGAACGAAAACAACAAGAAAAACAAAAAAAGAAACAACAAGAAAAAGAAGATGACTTAACTGATTGTTTTGTATCATGGTCATGGATTGAAAACTATTGTAATCTATGCCAGTATTCTCTCGATATTAAACGATGCACAAATATCAGCTGTTGTGATCCACCTCGTGCAAAAGAAGCCATGGAATTCCTTCAATCAAACAATGGCTTCTTACCTCCTATCACCAAAGCTAAAGACAGACACTTTACCAACGCAATACACCTTTTCGAATATTATGACCTATTAAAAATTCCTGACTATGATTCTCATTGCTTATCTCTTGATAAAATAACATATTTACGTCTATGTTGTTCTGAATATAATAAATATTTTCCAACGCTCACTTTTTTGACGAATCATAAATGAACAGTACATCCTGCTAACCGTGGATAACCCAAAGGAAAAGGTAAAAGCCAAAACTCCTTAACTCTTGACGATTTCTCTCTTCTTCCATCACAACAACAACAAGAAAAAATGCTTCCTTTTGAAGAAATGTGTTTGAGGGAATGCATGTCAGATCAAGATTAATATGATTATATGAAAAATTAATAAAATACTATTGCCAATATTATCACGTGATTTTAAGTTATGTGTAACCTAAGATTCGCTATTACCCCCTACTCCTAAAATATTAGCTAATATATGTCAACGCCCTTTGAGATATTATATTAGCTAACTAATTAAATTAAAATTATACCTAATTCCTATAGTAAAATTTATTATTAAAGGTTTTTGCATATTAAACATAACTATTTACATAATAAATTTTACTATTTATTACAATTTTTTTTAATAAAAAATCCTAAATCTTTAAAGTTTAATAACTTTGATTTAAATCTAACATTCAAATAAATTAAATTTGTAAATAATAAAATAATCTAAAAAATAATATGATACCTTGCTTTTTTGAAAAGCAACAAAGAAAAAAATTTTTTATTTAAAGAACTATGCCTAAAAAGATCTAATTGTTATTTCTTAAAATGTAAATAATATTTTTTTTTAAAAAAATGAGCTTTTATATAAAAGAAATAATAATTTAAAATATTTTTATAAATTTGAAGTGAAGATATGAAGAGTCTAAAGTTATTAAAGTATAAAATGTATTGATTTAGTAAGAAGCTTTTTATAAGGCAAATTTAAATTTCACAATTTAACTCAAATTGTAATAGTTAAATAAGAAAGTTTCACCTGAAATGAGATTATAAGGTATAAATAATATCCATTTAATATATCATTCTTTAATCTGTAAATTAATTAATACAATTATTAATAAATATTAAATATACAGTCAACTCTTGTTATAACGAACTTTATGTTTTAGATTTCAACTTCACTATAAGGTTATAGTGAAGATTTTAAGAGATTTGATTAGCCAATTCGCTATAATAAGAGTATTTTTATTATATTTTTTCAAAAAATTTGTTATATCAAGAGTTCATTATATCAAGAATTGATTGTACTGTATATTAAAAAATAATATAAAAATAATTTTACTTTATATTTAAAACTTATATTATATAATAGTTGTAATTTAGATATGAAATTTAACAATATTTATATTATTTTTCACCAATTTATTTTTAACAAAACTTATAATATTAATATAAATTGTGAATTATAAAAAGGATTTCTTAAAATCTATATAATTTCAATTAATTATAATATTTTATACTCATCTATCCATTCTTTTTCATTGACTTATATATTAGGAATAAAAACTGTTATGCATTTGAAGTATTAATTGAATTTATAAAAATAGATAAAAAAATATATCACCAAATCTTATCTTTATTAGATTAGTAAATAATGATTGTGTAATATCATCTTTTATAAAAAAAGATTGATAACTTAAATTAGTATAACTTAAAAAAATTTCACACATATAAATACTAAAACAGAACAGAATAGTATTTCATTTTTATTTTTGTTTTTATTTTTATTCTACTAATTATCAAGCTTCTATTTAAAGATTAATACCTTTTTCAAGAATAATTTAAAATATTTTTTGAAAAATCTCGCAACGAGATGTGAATTATTTATTAAGTCTTGTTGTTTGTAATTGTTTTTTTTCTATGGATTTTAGCTATCTCTATGTGACATTATATCATAGAATTTTGGTCAGTGCAGGTCTGCTACACTAAAAGTGAAAATATTAATCCTTCAGAATCCAATTGTCAGATTATGTTCACAACTCAAGTCTTCATCTATTCTAAAATTAACAAGTTTTGCACAAATATTTATCATAACGTATAATTTTTTCTACTATATAACTATCATTCTCTATCATCTTTTGCACATCTTCAACTGTATACTATAGATTATTTAAATTCTGCTTATATGTACTTTTCTCTCTTGAAGTACTCTCCATCTTATCTGTGAATTTAATATAAAGTAACATCATCGTAAATGTCTCACAAATCTTCTATCTTTATATTTGAGCAAATATAAGAAATATTTAACGGGTTTAACATTTCTAATATATTCTGACCTAAAATTAGTATTACCAGTCAGATACAACATCAAAAAAAGTACACGCAATATATCTGAGAGTTTGAAATTCATTAATAGGATTTTCATCAATATTCAGCCTTATAATAAGAAGTTTATCAACTTGCATTTGACTAAAAGCATTTGTAATAGCATGTTCTTTATTAGAAGATAGAATATAAACAGGAATAAGTTACTATCTATCAAATCTTTAAGATCGTTATCATTATTATCTGAGTCTTTATCTTTTATATTATTGAGTTGAGGTAATCTATCATCAATAGGATGTAAAGATTACAATACTTTAGTATCTATTTCAATATCAGAATAATAACAGTTATTTTCTTTTAATCAGTAAAGTACACAAGCGATTCTAGTAAGTCAAACATTAAAATTTTTAAATGTTAATCTATTTGCAGATTGATGGTATATAACGAGAATATCAAATGATAATAAATTTCAGAAAAACCACTTTGCAAACTCTAATACATCTTATATAAAATTAATAACATTATCATGATATGCATGTTAACTACTATAAAGATAATTATATTACACAAAATTGGTATTATTAATTTAATACTAAATTCCGTTAGGATATCCTTCATAAAATGCAAGCTGTTTAGGCAGAATCCCTACTCTCACTTCCTCACCTAATCAAATATTGTGACAAACTCATAGATTGACCTCTTCTCTTCAAGATCCTGAACGATGAAGAATCTTCTTGTAAGACATCCTTCATAGGCTACTTCAAAAAGAAATTTAAAATTAAAATGTTGCTCTAACTGCTTTTTACTTTAAAGGTAGTTTACTCTCAGATTCTCAACACATATACCTCATCACGATATTTCTGTTGTTACTCTTACACTGAAGACTTTAAGCATCTATAGCTTTATCCTAATAATGAATCAAACATCAAAGATTTAGTTATTACACATAAATCAAAATTTATCACTCATCTTAAAAAGCTAAATACTCTTAACAATGACTTACTGTTTCAAGAAATATCATCAGATCTTATCTAAAATTCATCACTTACCTTAACAGAATTTTGGTTCCTTAATTTATTTAAAGGTATTATACCTTTATCTTTATCAGATAAAGTAACAGCTTGTTTGTTTACTAAAAATTTATCGCATAGCCTCTTGTCTTCATTATATCATGATGTTTCCACATCTTATTATGAGATATAGTTACAAAGAAATACTGCCCTGAACAAATGGAAAATTACCAATAACATTGAAGAAGATTATACTATCCCTTAGGTCTTTTCAGGTTTTTTACACTTTTCTTCTCTCCCTTAACCTCAAACTTTATATCCTTTGTAGCAACTACCGCCCATGACTCCCATTAGTCAAATTTTTGAAATGGCAGTAATCACGCCTTCCCTTTCAGATATTTGATAACTGTATAATAATTTAGTTTAGTTTAGGACTCTTCTCTTTTCTTTTCTGTTTATAGTTTAGTTTAATAAAGTACAAGGATATTGATAAAGTAGTTAGTTTATAAATTAATTTATAGATATTTTTGTATTTTCTATTTTATTATATATACCTAGTATTATATAAATTTAATAAAGATCATGCAAAACTGCTACATTTTTTAAAAAAAAAATCTGTCAGAATATCCTTCAAGATTTAAGTTTTAAAACAAGTACAAGATCATGTTTCTAGCATCTGTGGTTGATGAGTTATAGCTATTCAAAGGTAACCAATCACACTTGCGTTTCTTTTGGTAGCCACTATATATTATTTAAAATCAGTTTTTAATTATTATTCTTAAAAATATTTCTAAGAAAAATAATTTATAATTTGAATGATAATAAAAATTTAATTAAAAAAATTATTTAAAGAATTAATTTATAAAAATTATATTAACAGTCGGTATGCATGTTCAATTTACATGTCGATCATAATTAAAAATTCTTATATAACATTCGTCTAGATATTTCATTAAAGTTCTTTCATTCTAAATCATAATATAATCAGTTTTTATTCTTAATATAATTTTTTCAACAGCACTTCTTCTATCAAAATAACTAAAAGTTTGGCCTTTTCTGCTTTTCTGCGAAATTTTATTTTATCAGCAATTTTACCTATTTTTGATATTAAAACCTGAGATTCTTTTGTTACCAACTTTTAAATAAAAAAAAAAGTATTTAGCGATCTTTATTTTTAGTAAATCTTTTAACATAATTACTTTAAGAAACTAAATGCAATAGAACTTCTTACGAAAAATGCCATTTATTTTTATATAATGAAACTTTAAAGAATTTTTGATTTTATTTAAGGTAAAATTATTAAATTTATTCATGGTTATTGTTTTTATTACACCTATAACAAGATATATATTGATTAATCCGATTCTTATCCCATTCATTTCCCAATGCTTCTCCAACCTGATTTATTTGATCACTAGTTGGATATTCAGAACAAGTCACCAATGGTTCTAAAAGCTCTTTTTCTTCAAGTTTAGTTTCACGACGAGTTTGCCTTTGTTTCTTCTTTGGTGGTTCATCTTGATCTACTATATTCGTTGAATCGGTTGGTGTCCGTTTGTCTGAAATAGCTTGATGAGAATTTTCTGTATTTGATTGTGATGTTGATGCAACAGTAGCTAT